AATAAACAAAATATTGCTAAACTTAAATATTATAAGTCTATTTAGATAAATATAAATTTCAAATTAAGTGATTTAAGGTTAAATTTTATAAAAATATTGGATAGTAACTATTATAAGTAGATTGGAAAATTATAAAAGAAAATAAGTTGAGATAAAAATGATATATTTTAATAGGAAAATTTTATAAAACACATAGCAAAAAAATGTATTTTGTATGTCGCAATTATGATCTTTGTAATATTTGATTATGACACATTATGACGTTAATTATAACTCATTGTGGTATTGGTTATAACTTAATTATAATTTATTGTGACTGTTATTTTGGTTACGACCCTTTGGGTATGACTCATTTTAATATTAATTATGACCTATTGAGATTATTTTTAAATTATGACCGAAGATGTACTGTTTGGTTATTATTTATTATGGTCTTTTTAGTTATAATCAAAAATGATTTAATTTTAACACTTATGGTATGACACACCATGAGAATCTTTGTAATTAGAAAGAAAAATCTTAATAGAGTAGACATTATTACAATTTTAAAGAGATTACTATTACAAATTTATAAATAATGTATAAGATATAACTTATATATGTTGAGGTACTAGTAAAATTATTAAAAGTCTAAGAGACATGTAACCCTCCGATCCTACTGTATCTCAGTCCCTGAATATGACCCGACCCAACTTGACCCGATCCTCGCCCTAATTACTCCCGTGGAGACTGTAGCATCATGATTCTCATGTGCGGATCTGACCGACCACCGACCACCGACCACCATTGGAGGACCACACAGATATAAGACCTGATCTAATTAGAATTTATTTATTTATTTTAAAAAATTTAAGTGGAGCTCAAAATTCAAATATACATTCTGATTATTCTATTTTGATTGGATGAGTTTGCGAAAGGTAGATTACAACATCAGAGTAGATTTTTACGATGTAACAGTATATTTATATGTGTTTTTTTGGGAAAGAATTTGCATTATCATCACCAATTTTGTTGGAGTTTTTTTTTTTTAATATTCCAAAAAAAAAAACTATTTAAAAAATTGACCCGCTTTTAAAATTATTTTGACAAATGTAATTTTGAAATTGAAATTGCATTTTCAAACATGCAATTTCGCCTTGAAATCGCATGTTGAAATTGCGATTTGAAATCACATGCTAAACATGCTATTTCACCATATCATCATTTTCAACTTGTAATTTTAAAGTGAAATTGCATGTTCAAGATGCAATTTCAATTTCAAAATCGCATTTTGAAAATGTGATTTCAAAAAGTTGGTTAGTTTCTTAAATAATTTGAAAAGTGAGTCAAGTCTCTAATTAGTTTTTTTTTTTGGGGGGAATATTTTTTAAAAAACTCCATATTGTTGTGTATTTCTATCTGATGATTCTCCATATTCTAATGTTTTTTTAAACAATTAAATGAAAAAAAAAAACTATTGGAAATATTTGGTAGGGAAATAATTGATAATTGAATAGATTTAAAACAATGTTATTAATAATTAGAAAGGCAAATAAAATTCGAGCATGAAAAGAAATATATTTTATAAAAAAATGTACATAATACCATGTTAATGTATAATGAGAAAATTAAGTACGGATTCTTACCTCGTTTTATAATTTATACATTCGCAATAATGTTTTGAAATAATTCCTTGGTCATTAAAATATGTAGAATGGAATTAATTGAAATAGGTTCAGGTTGAGTCAACAAAAACATCAAGATAAGGTTGGGAATTTTATAATGAATTAAGAATTTAGTTGTTTGGGTTTGAGATGTTACGTTTTGTTTAGAAAGAACAAATAAGAAATTATTATTATTTTTTTAAAAAAAGAAGAGGCTTTCATGGAGTCTGTGTCAAGGGGGTGTGTGGTGCGCTTCGAACAGTTTAAGAGTAAAATTTTAAATTGAATGACGGATTGACGGATTAGGGAATTGACAAATTGAGATTTGAGCGGTTTCGGGTGAATTGTCGAATTGAAGAATATTCTAACTAATTATTAAATATTTGCATAATATAAAATACTAATTTGCATAATCTTTTTTTATATATATATAACACAAAGTATTTTTACATAATATGTTTTATATATATAACTACTAATTTGTAATAAATTTTACATCTTAAATCTCTCTTGCACTTATTTTTTACTTTGATATTTCATTAGAGATTGAAAAATATATATGTGTTAATTATAACGGAACGGAGCGGTTTGAAAAACGGATTATAAATTTTAAAATTTAATCCACGATTAACAGATAGAGTGGTACAAATTAATATGAATCAATATGATTTTAACAAATTAAGTAATATTTTATATAATAATGTAATGAGTCAGCTATGAACGTCTAAGTACCCCCGCAAAGCCCTTGGAAATAACCAAGCTGTGACACATGGCTCCTGAATAGTTTAAAAAAGACATATCTAATTTCTAGAACATTGTTTTTTATGAACTACATTTTCGAGAGCATTTTATTTCATTTCCTCTCTTTTCTAATAGGGAAGTATTAGGTATTATTTGACATAAACTAAATAAATCCAATTATTTAAGTCACATTATTACTTTACTTTTTTATATATATATATTTTTATTTACAAAAAGTAAAAAAAAATATTTATTTAAATCATACCAAACACGCTGTCTTCAGAAAAACAAAATCATAAACTAACGAACCCTAATGTTTTTGCCTGAGCTTAATTAGTTTAGAAAATAATATACACAATCAAACCTAAAAATGAATAACACTGACCAATTAGTTAGTTTGAAACTGATAATCATCAATTTAATAATCATAAATGATCGTATATTTATAAATTGCTTTTGTGGCTAATCCTCAAAGAAATTTATGAATTGTCACGTGTATCTTATTCGCATATAAAAATTTCTCTGAGATTCCTCATTCTCAACACAAAACTGACAATATTTTGTCAACTCTCTCAAGATCCATCCATGGATAGGAAACTTCTCACAATAGTTGCACCAAGAAAATATCCCAGGAATTGGTTAAATTTGTACCTTTTGAAAAAGCACTCTCTTGTTCAATATTGTTGCTTGTTTGGTGTCCAGTAAAGTACTGAAAAGAAAACAAAAATCCTAAGGACTTGTTTGGTAAGTGGTTTTGGAGCTAAAATAGTTATAAAAAATAAAATAAGTTATTTTAGTCATAACAAACAAAACATCACATCAAATTCATAATCATTACACTATTTTCTTACAAAAAAAAATAAAAAAAATAAAAAATCAAAAAATCGTTCCCAAATCAAACTTTTTAACTTAGACTAAAATAGTTAAAAAAATTAAAAAGTATCCCATTTTACAAAGCGTGACAAGTAACAGACAAATCACACTTAAAAATATTGTAGCCCCCAAATGCAATTCCGAATTTGCGGCGGCGGCCCTGGAGACGTTGAGCCCACGGTTATGTTGATGTTGGATTTGCAATTAGAAAGAAAGGAAACAGAATGATTTTCTTCTTTTAAAAATTATGAAAAAAAAGTGGGTTAGCAAATAAGACAAAATGAATAAATATTATTTGAATTTTTTTTAGATTGGTTATTTGACTTTAAATTGTCTAAATTGATAGCTTCAATTTAAATTATTTAAATTGGCGATGGTCAAATGTCATGAATATTAGAAGACATGACAGGAATTTTAAGGGAAAACAAATCTTATAAGTAATAAAATTATTAGCAATAGAATTATTATATATTCAAGTGTTTGAAGAAATAAATAAATAATTGGGCCAATAATATTTTCAATTATTTATTTATTTCTTCACTCTTAAATGGTTGACATTCTTCCAAAAATGTGAGATTCCCAAGAGGAGTGGAAAAATTTGAGTCTTACTTAGTTTGGGAATGTGATTCCTATTTCATTTCAAATGCTGAAATCATAGAATTTATTGTCACATTTGCATTTTTTTTTAAGATTACTGTCATTCAAATACAACTTAAATGTGTTTTATGTGAGATATATAAAGAGTATTTGTGAAAAACATAAAACTAAAAATCGTGTAGCTTGAATGGGTCCCATAAAGATCTAATGGGTCAGACGGATCCAGCATGACCCGGTTCTTCTGACCAATATCTTTGACTATCTCCATTTGCTTGAATGTTGGATAATAAAATGCCTTTGGAATTGGATTTTCAATTCTCAGATTTGTGAGCTCAAGTGTGTTTGTCACCACCTTTGGCAACCGATGCTGGTGATTTCTTCTGACCACCCCTTCCGACAAGTCCCTCACCATCTCAGCTATCTCTCGCCACCTTCTGTTGATCTCCCTTCACCTCTAACTACCACCTCTATAGCGGCTCCTTTACTTCCTTGATTATTTTCAAAATAATTTTTTAAAAACATATGTATTTACTAAACATATTTCATATTTTAATTTTTAGAAAAATTAAATACGAACATGTTTAATATTTTTTATATAAAAAAAAAATAATAAATAAAAAAGTTACTAAAGTACTAAGCAAATTCCTACTTCAGCACGATTGTAAGTTGGGACTATATATTCTTTGACAATAATAATAAAAAAAGAAAAGAAAAAAGGAAAGAGAAATATATATTACAAGACTCACTTGATAAAATAAAAGTTTAAGGTTTTCTTAGGAGTCAACCTAAAGATCTCAATCGCCCACATGGTTTCTAGAAATATGTCAACAATTTCTCATCAAATTGTTCTAATCCTAACAAATCTACCGTTGTTTACAAGTCAACTTAAAGATTGTTAAACAATCACCGACTTGGTTTCAACTAATATGCCAACAAATTTCTGATCCAAATGTTCCAATCCTTAAAAAAAAAACCTGTTTAGAATTTCGAGTGCTGACAATCAAACATAGGAATCTCTTGGTGTTTATGACAACTTATGCTATCCAGCTTCTCTCATATTTGGCAAACCATCTCTCTGGAACCCATTTCTGTAAGAAATAGAAATTGTAAAAAAAAAAATCAAAGAATCAAAGATTAATCGCACAAGAATACAAAGTTTTACGTTGTTCACTCTTTTTTGTTTCATTGTACTCGTTTTCATTTACAGAACAATAAAGCAGGCCATGTGCAAAACAACTTTCAAGCTTTTTGTAGTGACTACTATTACAAAATTTGAGTAATCTAATGAATATACAGTAACAAAAAACACAAGATTGTTGTATACACGAGTAACTCTCATCAACAAAGTCCCTAAATTTTACCGATATGTCCCTCCCCGAATGTTCAGCAGACACTATCTTGGCCCTGAAAGCCGGACTGCAGAGAGATGAGCATCGCTGTTGCAGTCTGATGGTGCTGAAGAAGTCCCCTCACCGCTGGTCGATTTAAAGAAATTTGAATAGAGACGCGAACCCATTTGAGAAGACATTGGGGGAGGAGGAACAGCACATAGACCTTCTAGCATTTGGACTACCTTTGTCATTGGCGGTCTTAGGTGCATATCATCCTGTATACACCACAAAGCAACTTTGATTGCAATAGCTACCCTCTCATCCTCTTCATCTACCTCGAGCTTCGAATCAAGTATGTTTCTCAGTTTCCCTTCTTCCATCATCTTAAATGCATACGACGGATAATGAGATTTCTCTGAAGATTCGTTGGGGTCGTAGCTTTTTCTCCCTCCAATGATTTCAAGCAACACGATTCCATAGCTATAAACATCACTTTTCTCTGATATAGCATAGTTTGTGATCCACTCTGGTGCGAGGTACCCCCTAGTGCCCCTCAAAGTCGTGAACACGTGGCTTTGCTCGCGGGTCATTAGCTTGGCTAAACCAAAATCCGAGACTTTGGCAAGAAAATTACTATCGAGGAGCACATTTTCTGGTTTTATGTCACAATGAATGATCTTGGCATCGCAATCCTCGTGGAGATATGCCAGTCCTTTAGCAGTCCCCAATGCTATATTGAACCTCGTGTTCCAATCCAACATGAAATCCTCTGTGTTTTTCTTGAAAATCCATTTATCCAGCGACCCATTTGCCATGTACTCGTAAACAAGAAGACGATGTGCTCCTTCAGCGCAGAAGCCTCTCAGTCGTACCAAATGGAGATGATGGATGCTGCCAATGATGCTAACTTCAGCGCGAAATTCTTTCTTTCCCTGACCAATTCCTTCCAATTTCTTCACAGCCAAACGGGTTCCATCTGGGAGAGCCCCTTGGTAAACCGAGCCAAACCCTCCTTGTCCGAGCTTCACAGAGAAGTTATTGGTTGCAGTTTGAAGAAAATTGTAAGTAAAACGTATTGGCATCCCAGACAAACTCTCCAAGAAAGTATCCTCCTCTGAATTATCTTTGGGAGACTCTGGCAATTTACTCTTCCTCCGGTGGTAACGATATGCACCATAAAGTAGACCAATAATAATAAGTACAGTCGAAATAGCAATGATGATGACATAAGGGAAGCGTTTCTGGCTGCTTCCACCTCCTCCCGGGTTGTTGTTCCCACTGCCTCCAGTACTCAAAACCTTAATGAATGAAACAAAACCAGCACCATTGTTTTTGAAGCTCCCTATACTGTCAAAAACAAAACAATTGCCTGAGCTGTTCTCAAAGAGCAAAGCGAGGCAGGAGCAATTACCGACGCAAATGGCTTTGCAACCATCTAAGTCAGTTTTATTAACCGGTGAAACATATCCAAGCGCAAAATAGTCAAGTCCATCCCCTACTTTTAGAAGCTCTGTAGGACCCATTGAACTATCACAAGGGGAAACAATCCCGGGATTGCAATTTGGACTGGAGGATAGAATGGAAGCAGGACACTGACACTTATTGCTATCACAAACATTATATGGATCACAAGCTTCAGGGGTGCTACATGGATCTTTAGGTATTTTTGTTGGCGAAACATTGCTTAAACTTCCATTTTGAAGAGTGGAAAAGGTAATAAAGCCATCGTCTCCTAGAACTGAAACCCAAGTGACATTTGGATCAATGTTATCCGAAAAAACAAACTGCCACAATAAGGTTCTGTTTTGATCAAAAAACCGCCATGAATTGGCAATAAGAGATGCCGAAGTGACCTCCCCACCATCTTTGTTGATGATCTTTTGGTTTTCTTTGCTCATAGACCAGTAAGGCTGTGGAGTTTGAAAACCTGCAGAGAGAATCATATCGCCGTTCTTGATTTCTAGAAAATAGCTCAAATTATTATTGTTTGGATTGCTTACAAGTCTCATTCCATCGGTGAACTTTTGGTTGGATAAAAGGGTGTTCGTCGGATGGCTAAAACTCTGCCAAATTACACTACTATCTTTCCCACGAAGAACCAAATTTCCTGAGTCTAGCAATTCCATTGCTGAAACCCCTTTGCCTGAAGTGTTTGTAGACCAAATTAAGCTTCCCCCACTTTGTAAGTAAGCGTTCCCGCTATCATCGAACACAAAGTTATCAGACATTTGAACTGGGGAGGCTCTATTTGCAGACCAGACTACTGTTGAACTGCTCATATGAATAGTAGCAACAAGAAACAAAGTGACATTTTGGGGAGTTTTGGTGAATCCAAAACCAAAATTCGAATCATTGGATAAAAGAAACAAGCCCTGATTGTCTATCCAATTCATTTGAGTCCCTCGAAATCCTGGATTCACTGTGCCTATGTTTTGGACACTACCCATACAACCTTCAGACAGAAGGAGAAGGAACAAAAACATGCCCACAAAATCAAAGAAACCCCAAGTTTCCATTTCACACCAAGAAAGTAAAATTCTGATGAATTTAGGAAAACCAAAGAGCACAAAAGAAGAATAGAGAAGTGATTGGCCTATGACATGAAGATGACTCTTAAAATAAGAGGACCAAAAAGGAAAAAAAGGGGTTTCAACAAAAACAGCATGCCAAACCTTTACATGTGAACTAACCAATCTTAAACTTTATGCTCAGCAATTGGAGTCCTACTATAATTAGAAAATCCCAAGATTCTAATGCTATGGAATCAAATAAGGAGCCATGTGAAGCTGACATATTGCAATTACAGACAACATTTCTGTGAACAAGTTGAATTAAGACAAACAAAGAAAAAAGAATTCAAGAAAATTCATGACAACTCTACATTTAGGCAAGAAAAGATAATTCCCCAATGACCAAGAACACAAAAGAATAAAGAAAGACACAGAAGAATTAAAGGGTAGGAAAGAAGAGAGAATCAACAATTAATGGGTACTCTTGATTTAGCCATGAAAACAAGACCCCAGTTGCAGAAAAAGCCAGATTTTGTGAGAGAGACCTCTCAGGCCACCATTGAAGGAGGAGCATAGAAGAAAGATGGGTGAGCACATAAATACATACCAATTGAGAAGAAGCTGTGATTATCAATTACTGCTTTTTCTTCGCTAAGAATGGAGAGAAACAGAGTGGATTTGCAGACATGGGTCTCTCTGGCCTCTTACCTGACCTGAGGTGTGTTTTTAACCCTTCTTAAACCCTCTACTCAAAAACAGGCAAAAACAGTAAATTTCATGGAGGCAACAACAGATCAATAATCAATTTTAAAAAATAAAAAAACAATATGATGACGACGCATACATACACAGTATTTTATAATTGTGGTGTTGATGAAAGGTAGAGTAGGGGACTCCAAAGGAAATGAATGCTAGTAGAGAGCTTTTATTTAATGCGAAGTTGGACCACTGTGAGAGAAAGGGTCCAAGGTTTTTGAAGCCAACTTGTATCAGTTTGATTTATAGAGTCCAAAACCACTTGCATTTGTGGGTCCCATTTTAACTTTAATTCCAATATACACCTCACAAAAACCTGGGGAATTCCACACCCATTTATACATATATATATATATATATATATATATTAATTATAGTTAATTTTTTTTTAATTATTATACTATTTTAGTTACAATTGTTGAGATTTTTAATTATACTTTTGGATATCCTAAATAAGTGTACTTTTTATCTTTTTAAAGTAAAAAGTTGAGAAAAAAATAAGGATGTTGGGTTAACTTTTTATCTTTTTACGAAAAAATGTATAATAAAAAATTATATAAATAAAGTGTATAGGGGAAGAAAGGTGATTGCATGTACGACTGCTCAGCCGTGCCCAGCAGGTCTTACAAGGAAAATAATTGTCTCATTTGGGGCAAAGTGTTTGGATAATTGTCTCCTTCGGGGCAAAGTGTTTGGACAGTAATGGTCGGTCCATGGGAGCCACCATGAGTCATATTTTAATAACCTGAACCGTTTAATAAATACAACTCGTCGAGTATTATATATCTGTAAAAAAATCACGCTGATCGGATATCGATAGCTATACGATTAAATTAGTTTTTTTCAACAGTTAACTGTCACACCATTTGTTTTGTTTATACAAAACTGATTTGATCATATAGTTAACGATATCCGATTAACGTGATTTTTTGCAAGTATATATTAATCGATGAGTTCTACATATGAAACGGTTTGGATTATCAAAACGGAGTCATTAAGCCCCAACATTATCATCAAAATTTTTGACTTTACATATAGAATTTTTTTTTACCCCAAACAAAGTGTAATGTCTGGTCTCTGCCCTAACAAGTATGGCTGAGAACAGTGCTCAGTCCATTTGTATTATAAAAATATATAAATTATTTTTTTAATATTTTTTATTTGTGAATAGTAATGTCTTTTTTACTTTTTGTATAACTTTTTGACTTTTTAAATTATTTTTGAGTTGCCAAACCAACCATTTTTATGGTATTTGATTATGATTTTTTTTTTATGATTATAATTCAAAAAATATAGAATTATATCATTTTTTTCTTTAGTTATATAGTACATCTTTCCCGAGTGAATTTCAAATCAACTTTTTTAGAAATTTATTATATTATTATTATTTTGCAACAAGTGAGGTTTTGTCAAAAATTTGACCATTTTTCCTTTCAAAATTTACAACTTCCACGACTCAAGACTTATAACTACAAAATTTTAAAATCATATAAAATTTTACAAATTACAAAAACTAAATATTATTAGAATATAAAATTACAAAAAGTTAAATTACACTAATAATCACAATTTATTCATTGAAAAAAAATATTTAAGACCCATCTAGATTAATGAGAGAGAAAGGATTAGGTTGATGCTTGATACTAATGGGTACCAAAGAGGGCCCCGCCTACGACTTAGGACCCAACATCAATCGACTGACCGAACAAAACCAAGCCCAGATCAATGCTTTGCTCTAACGTGATTTGCCTATCTTTTTTTCACCACCACAAGTAATCCCTCCGAACCCAGAACAAACCCACTATCGTCACCAGTTCCCACCACATGTGTCCCGAGACTTATTCCCGCCCTTCATCCCACAGCCTTAACCGTCGAATCCTAACGATCTGCGCACCCCTCCTTCAGGCTCACAGCTTCGTCAAAAGGGACCACTGCTTTTCCATAACCACCATCGACCGTACCATGCTGCAGTCCATGAAAGATAAGCTAGCAGTGTTCAACCCCTGATTTATGTTTGTGGGGACAATGCCCCCGTTTGGGACGAAGAACTATGGGCCATGAAGCTTCAACTACAAGGGATCATGTAAAACATGCACATAAACCTTCTTCCACCATCAACTCTCCTTTCACTACCTCCATCAGGGATAAGGCTCTACCCCCTAAGTTCAAAATGCCATCGATCGACACCTTCGATGGTACCACCGATCTGGTTGACAACGCGGAAGTGTATTGGACACTTATGATCCTCTATGTCTTTCCCAACAAAATTGCGCGCCGTGCTTGTCCCATCACCTTGATGGGGTTGGCGCGACTCTCGTTTAGCCAGCTCCCCCCAGACTCTGTTACTTTCTTCCACCAGCTCAGCAAATCCTTCATGAGTCATTTTATTGGTGCTCAGCGGCAACGACATCCGGCGACCCAACTGCTAAATATCTACCAGACCGAGGGGGAATCTTTGCCCAGCTTTGTCACCCGTTTCAATATGGAGGCCTTACAAGTGTAGAAAAATGATGACAAGGTCATTCTCACAACCTTCATGGCCAGATTGCACTTGTCAGATTTTCTCTTTTCCCTTTCCAAAAACCCTCAATCGTAATGGCTACCTTTCTCGCCAAAGCCCAAAAATACATTAATGCCGAATACTCTTTGGTAGCTCGCCAAGACTCTACCTCTAAAGCCTCGCAGTCCAAGGAAAAGTGAAAAGAGCTTGAGCCCAGGTACTCACAATATACTCACCAACCTCTTCAATACACAAACCGACCCTCACGCTCGGACCGACAAGCCCCTACCCAGCCACCTGGTCGGTTCGAATAGTACACACCTCTCAACTCACTTATGGAGTAGGCCTTACATCAAATCCAACGTGACTATGACCTCAAGTGGCCCCAACCATCGAAATCCCCCTCCACTTAGTGGGACCAATCCAAGTATTACCGTTTCCATTGTGACCACGACCATACCATTAAAAAGTGTGTCAACCTCAAAGACCAAGTCGAGGATTTGATCCGCTAAGGGCACCTCAATCGGTTCACAGAATCCCGTCCTCACCAGCTAAGGCTGACCCCCCGAGGCACAACGACCGACACACTCTCTCTAGACAACTTGAACCACCTAAATGACATGATGATCGGGCTCCACCATAATCCTGTACGCAAGGCGGTCTTGCTCCCCTAGTAGGCGAGATCAGGGTCATAGTCGGAGGGCTTGCGTGTGGCGGACCATCTCGGTCGGCATAGTGAGTTGAGCTTAGAAAAATCAAGCAAGGCTCTAATAAGGAAGTGACGACGGTAAACCGCCCCTACAAACAGCCCAAGCAATGGTCTGAATCAATCACCTTCACAGAAGCGGACTGCACAAGTGTCTGCTTCCCCCATGATGACCCCCTGGTCATTTCTGCTCTCTTATCGAACTACAAAGTCAAGCGAGTACCGACATCAGCTCCTTAGACATCATCTTCCTCAACGCCTACCGACAACTCAAGACCGGGGAAAAAAAGTTGTCGCCTCTACAAATCCTTCTAGTCGGCTTCACCAGGGACCAGGTGACCTCTTTAGGCGCTATCAACCTCTTAATCACTATCGGAGAGTATCCACAGCAATCCACAAAACTACTCACTCTCCTCGTCATTGACTATCCTTCCGCTTACAACATCATACTTGGACGAATAACTCTCAACAGCCTCCAAGCTGTAACCTCCAGCTACCATTTGGCCATGAAAGTCCCAACTGATTAGGGAGTCGGCACGGTGAGAGGCGAACAGACAGTGGCCAGAGAATACTATGTCACCTCACTTAAGGAGGTTAAAATGAGGAAGATTATGATCACAGAAGGCCTTGATGTCAAAGATGAAGAGGAACTCATTAGAGGGGAACCAGTGGAGAAACTAGTTGAAGTACCCATTGATCCCATCAACCCAGTGAAGACTGCTAAAATTGGCAGCCAGCTACCTTCCAAGGCTAAGGCCGACCTTGCAGCTCTCTTAGCTGAGCATAACGATGTCTTTGCTTGGACTCACTTAGACATACTGGGTATTGACCCTTCTCTTATTACTCATCGCCTCAATATCGAGCCCCAGTTATGAGTGTTCCGCTAAAAGTAGCGCATTTTTTATCTAGAGCGCAGCAATCTCATCGCTGTTGAGGTAGACAAGCTGTTGGAGGCCCAGTTCATTAGAAATGTAGACTATCCTAAATGGTTATCCAATGTGGTCTTGGTCCGCAAAAGTAATGGCAAATGGAGACTTTGAGTCGACTACTTCGACCTCAACCAAGCTTGTCCTAAAGATAGTTACCCCCTACCAAGGATAAATTTATTGGTCGATACAATGGCAGGACACCAAATGCTTAGCTTCACGGATGCCTTCTCAGATTATAATCAAATCTTAATGTATGTAGCTAACCAGGAGCACACCTCTTTCATTACTAACAAGGGGACTTATCATTACCATGTGATGCCATTCAGTTTGAAGAATGCGGGAGCCACTTACCAACGCCTGGTCAATGGCATCATAAAAAACTAGATAGGTTGGAACATGGAGGTCTACGTCGATGACATGCTCGTCAAGAGCAAACTCTTCTCCGATCACTTAACAGACCTACGGGAGACATTTCAAGCCTTGCGCAAATATAAGATGAAGCTGAATCCAGAGAAGTGCGCCTTCGGTGTTGGGTCGAGTAAGATTTTGGGGTTCATGGTCAGTCTAGAAAAGATCAAGGTCTTAATAGAAATGCAGTCTTTAAGAACGATAAAAGAGGTTCAGTGCCTCATGGGCAGGGTAGTCGCCCTCAATCACATCATATTGAGGGTAACCAACAAGTGCCTTCCATTCTTCAAAGTGCTTAGAAAGGCTTTCAACTGGAATGCCAAGTTCAAGAAGGTGTTCTAACAATTAAAACAATGCATGGCAAACCCTCTCCTCCTCTCTCAAGCAATTCCAATGAAGACCCTCTTCCTTTACTTAGCTGTCTTTCGCACGGTAGTCAGCGCTACCCTAGTCAGAGAGGAAGACTCAATCTAACTTCCGATTTACTACATCAGTCGCGCACTTCACGGGGCGGAACAAAATTATCCCTTATTGGAGAAGATGGCCCTAACTCTAGTTATTGCCTCTAGACGCCTCCGACCCAACTTTCAAGCCCACTCCATAGTGGTTCTCATTGACCAACCTTTGAAAAAAGTTATGC